ATAATGAAAATCAATATAGTCGGTTTACTACCGCGGCGACGTATACACAATAAAATTGGCCTATTTTGAATGCTAAAATTTGTTGTGACAACATGGAATCGGTACAGAGAACTTAACAGCAACGGGACAGATTACTCCATACAATTCTAAAAAATTTAGGTATATGTGATATTCAAACCGGCTGCAAAAGAATGCAAACCATCGTTAGAAACAAACTTCATAAAAACTAGGTTCTTACCTCGTACTGCTGCCTGCATCTATATGGAAATAAAAAATATGCTTTGTTCCCGAAAACGGTTCTCGGATCAACAAAGAAGTGCAGTTTTTCATTTGTGGAAATTATGAGATCGGAACCAGTAAACCGTTGAATTCTCCGTCGACTTCGAGAAGCCAAGAAATAGCAGTTAAAACTAAGAAAAGTAACATCTATTTATTGTTCTAACGAATATATTGATATCGAAAATGATTTTTTAGTTAACCAAAAATCACATGTAATTCGAACAATGAGGAGCACAAAAATTAAGTATAAAAATATAACACTACATTCTTACGAAATGACATTGGCGGAGACAAAGTTTTTTTTTCACAGTCCCCATTATGCAATTCTAAGTGGCAGGTTTTAGTCGAACGAAGCATCAAGAGTATCTAAACCCTGTTTTAAATTAAGATCTAGAAATACTAGAATTTCCAAAACCGAATAAAAAAGTAGGAAGTTTGGAGACCGTTACAAAGACTCCGTGAGACTTAGCCCTGTCCTTTATGACGTTGACGTCATCGAAAACTATATTGGCGCGGTCGTCTCCCGGATTACCGAGGGCCGCGCAGGCTGTTGAGAGATTGAAGTAGGCTGCAAAAAGTCGGTGATCAGAACTTGCTCACTGCTTTCTGGCAGCGGTGGGGGAGGGGTGAGGCGTCGCATCACACCAACGGCTGAAGAAGATTGACGAAACGACGTCAAAGATACTAATCAGCAACGGAAGAGGCAGACAGCACGATGCCATTATAGCATGTCAGAAATGGGCTCCAGAAGAACGATAGCGCCAGTGGGACTTTACAGTCAGAAAGTGGAATATATCTTCATTTATGCGTAAAGAACAGGAATTTATTCACTAGGCTGCAAGGTACCAACTCAACATACCTGGACTCTCATCGACGAAGCGCCAAGGCCCTGGAATCCTGAACTTTTGTGGGTGGAAGCTGTTCTACTCATGTGTCGATATCATGACGCCCGTTCAGGCCAGTGTTGGTGATTTGGCATGACTCAACCATGATGATAAAATCATTGATTGGAATCCTGACAGCGGAAAGGTGACAGTTCTCTGACTCAAGTTACAACAGAATGAAAGGTTCACGTTGTTATAGGTCTATGTGCTCATTTAAGAGGGTGAATATGATTTTTTCCTTGAGGAGGGCACCTAAGTAAAGTTAAGGCAGTCTAAGTTTTTCGAAGCATAGGTATGGACACCTTTTCACCGATTATAAGACTTTCTTCGGCGACGGAGAGAGTGTCTTGAGATCTCCTTAACGACTAAGAAACCGCAGGAAGACTCGCTGTAAAACAGGAGTGAGCAGATATTATTCTTCTACAGTTGAAATTGCACAAGTTGTGAGAAGTAAACTTAAACAAAAGGGGAAGGGCCGCTGGAATTGATAAAATCCAACCTGAAATGCTCAAAGCATTAGAAGAACAAGGCATGTACTGACTCATACGTGTTAATCAAACTGCAATGGCTGTGGGGAAAACACCAGCGGACTGGAGAACGGGGAATTCTGTACCACTTTTCAAGAAAGGAGTCTACTGGGAGTGCTTCAATTAATGGGCCATTACCTTATTGAGCCTGCTTTGCAAAGTCTGTGCAAAGGTGCTGTAAAGAAGGTGCCGTGGAATAACTGACTCTAAGATACGAGAAGAGCAGTGTGGCTTCCAGTTCGGTTGAAGCACCCTTGACCATATATTGGCCGTATGCCAGATTGTTGAGAAATGGTGGGAGTTCGTTCATCCAGTGTACGTGTGCTTTGCTGACTTGGAGTAAGCCCGTAGCCGGATCTCGCAAAACAATCTGTGGATTCTTGCGAACATATAGCATCAATGGTCAGTTGTTACGGGCCATGCAATCACCATATCCTGGTAGCAGGAACTAGAACAAGTTAAATGGCGTTAAGTCGAAAACTTTCAGCGTTGGCACTGGTTTCCGTTCAGTCTCCGTTCTGTCATCTCTCCTGCTTGTGTCTTAGATAGATAGAATAGTGAGGCGCAGCTAAGGCAATGAGTGTATCGGTGTAGGAGATGTGGAGACAAGCAGATTGATGTTTTCAGACGATCCTGTTTTATTGGCGTCTTTTGAAACTGCTCTACAGCGCTCACTGGAAAGCATGACATCCGAATGCGGTGGCGGGTATGCGTGTGAACGTATGCAAAACAAAAGACCTAGTGCTTCTCGTTTTCATGCCCGTTACTGTCTTAAGATTAATCGAGATGCAAGATGGAGAGGAGCTGGAGAAATTCAAGTACCTCAGAGTCGCATTTGTTGGTGAAGGAAAATTTGAAGTAACAGATCGACCGGCGAATTTTAGTAGCCAGTGGAACTAGTATGAAACACCTTGACTAAACAGAGTTGAGTCTGCCGTCTAAACTGACTGTTTTCAGGCCGATCCTCATCTACATTCTCACCTGCATTGATGAGCCGTGGGCCGTGACTGAGAAACTTCGATCCCGGGTTCAAGCGGCTAAAATGAGCTTTCTGAGAGGAGTCGCTGGCACTACTTGTCTCGACATCGTCCGGAATACAGACATTCGCGAAAGCCTTGCTGTACACCTGCTGCTTCTTCAGATTGAGAAGTCACAGCTGCAATGGATTTGGACTGTATTGCGAATGCCTACTGAAGGAAAGCAACGCAACCATTTCTTGCTCAACCGACCGACAGAAGGCCCAGAGGACGGTCAAGACTATCCTGGGGCAAATATTTGAAATGAATCTGTTTCAGGTTCGAATTGTCTTCTGCCATTGCTGAGACTGTGGCTGAGGATCTGTAACATGTGCCTGCCTCCTCTTCCCAAAATGAAGAGCGATCATGGAAGGTGGATGAATGGAACTATTGCTTTGTTTGAACGCATCTTTTAATTTATCATTGAAGAGTTTAATTTTGATTTAGGTAGATCGAAACCAGTGTTACTTCCGATAGAAGTCTGCAACCATCTTGCTTCTCAACGCTGCAAACCACTTTTGTGAGGAATAAAAATTGAAGTTAGTGCATGGTAGACATGAACTATTCCGTAGCCATTCTCTGCATGTATATTTTTGCGCTTTTTCTCTGCAGTGTTGTCGCCTTTCTTTGGAGATCTGACCTACATGCCCGTAGAGGTTGAAATTTTTGAAGATAGTTAGCATATCCGTTTGCGAGTTAAAGCTGCTTTACTTGGAGTAGTGCATATTTTCAAATTGTGCACATGAATTGCTTTCCTATTATACCGGAAGGCATCATCTTAAACCTTGGCGTCTTATCCCCTTTCACAATCGCATCAGTTGGAAATATGTTAGAAATCGTCCTGCGGAGATTGACGACTCCGTACCACATCACCCTCTCCATCGATTAAATGTGAGCCGTTATGCTAAAAGCCACATGAGTGTAACTGCTGTAAAACCCAATTTATGGTTATTTGAATACACTACGGTCAGCAGGCTGACTGCGCAGTGGATGACCAATATCCCCACTGTGGTGGTGGTGGGGGGGGGGATATATGGAGTATTACGAAGAAATGACACTGGAATCAGTGGAACATCTTCAGATTACATAGCACAAGTACGTAGACGATGCATGGTTCCAGCAGCAGCATGTTGAAGGACGAGTGAATGTGTTTCAAGAACATCTTCAGCTATCCATGAAATTTTTTATTTTACGCACGAATTGGAGAATGAAGGCAAACTTCCATTTTTAAATTTACCCATAGACAGGACAAAATGGTCAGTAGTTTGAAAGCTGAATCCGGAAGAAATGATAACAGACAGATAAGATATCCGGAGCCGCTCTCTTCTGATCACCCACTTCAAAGAAACCCTTGTGAGGAATCAAACATTTCTTGGCACGGTACGGAGCAGTCACAATCTGTAAGCACACCGAGCAAGGTTAGTTAAATTCCGTAGAAGCAAGGCGTTATACAGAAACAAGATGATACCGGGATAATGCACCGGATCAATTGCTCTTGACAAGAAAACTGTATTGAAGCAACAAGCAAAAAACCAGTGAACTGGATCATTGAGCAAATGGAATGTCTCCAAATAGTAGATGAAAAGGGGTCGATTGTGCCTGATCACAGCATATTAGAAAATTATTATATAAAGTGGTATGCAAGCAGCATTCGTCAAACTGGTACCCGGCGGGGTGGAATACAGGATTTCGGAAGCAGAAACTGTGTAATGGATAAAAGGTTTGACGGCAGATAGGAAGAAGCTTACAAAAGTAGTCCAGCTTGGCTTCCCTAATTGTGACTAAATTGTACTATTTGAACTCACAGTTTCAGTACAAACTCATCACCATATTGTTCTACTATGCACTAATGCGAGAACCACTCAAATTTGCATCAAGGAAGGCCACGGTCTCAGCGCCAAAACAGAATATGTCATCCAGAAAATGAGAGGGCAACAACTTCAAAGAACTCCAGGTGGTTTATTAACTAGAGATTCAAGATCGTTGCGGATCATGTTCGGATTTATAAGGGATTGCACATTCCATGAATCTGAATTGAACTACTTCGATAAATTATACATTTAAACTAAAATTTGTAAACTATAATAAGTTCGTGTCTGGATCCTTTTGAAATTTCTTTTAAAAAAACACCTACTACTGTTATCCTGACAAAATGACATCATTATTCGATGCCTAGGCCTCTTGCTCAACTTAGACTTTAATTTTTTAGAAAGTATGCGTGTTTATCGATATTATCGACGGTATACGTTCAGGACGCTTTACAATGGTCGATTCATAAAATTTTTCAGAACCGTTTAGTCCAGTGATTCAATTTTCATGTCTTACTTGTTGCGTTAACAAAATATTTACAGTGACCCTTAATTTACCAGCTAACTCATATTTATCAGATAAATGTTTTGCTTCATTGTGCTTTTTCATGCAGATGGAGAAACTTCATGGAGACGGAGGAGACGCACGGCACAATGAAACAGCGATATGGTTACGGTGAAAGTAATCATGTGCTCTGAATTATTCTCCACGAATGGTTGCGCCAAAACAGCCATATATGGCAACCGATTCCTTATAACCGTTTTGCACAACACTCGCAATTGTGATGGCTTTAAATCGCTAAATACTTTTTAAGCTGACTGCTTTGAAATTTCTAACTGTTCCTTACTTCCTTATTTTGGCGACTACTAAGAAGCAATCTTCACCCATACCACACTGAAATACAATCTAGTGCCAGGATTGTTATCGAATCCAGCGACATGGGCGAGAGCGTGGTTGCAGGTTCATACGTACAGAGCAACTTTAGATATCTGAAATATATGCCTCCCTCACGCTTTGACCAAGTTCTCGTTTGCTCTGGATACTACTTTTTCACCTTCACGTAGATGTGTATTGTATGTTCATTTAAATTCATTCCATAATTTGTAAATATGTTTTATTCGAAGATCCGACGTTTACGCATTCAAGTTCAAGGTTATTTCACTTTATTTACTCGAAAGCACCGAAACTGATTGATCCGTCGAAGGATTAAAGCATCTCTTTGATTATTCGGTCTTTTAAAGTATCTCACCCGAATGGACTAGTGACAAGATGGACATCGCGAGTGCTTGATGCGCTCTGAGCAAACAACTGCATGACATAGGTCGTAATCCCCTAAAATCAACCCCCAAACCAACACAGAAATACCATATATCATATATGCAACTGCCTAAGCATTGCAATTGACTTATTTTCTGTTTTTTTCATTTCTAGCAAATCTGCCCCACTTTCGATAATAACAACGATGTAGTTACCGGCGCCTTATATCAAAAGTATTTGAATGAGGCGATATCACAGGTAGAAGTTGACCCGCCTATTAAAATTCCCAAATGTGATGCTGCCAGCGAACCCATAAACGCAAATGGTACCTCAAGCATTTCGCCACAAAGGTACCACATGAAACATAATTTCAATAGAGTTACGAAGTTTTGTGTATTTGTTGCACAAACACCTCTGTTCCGCCAGTTCTAGATAGATACTCGAATTCTGTTTGTAGCCATATGAATATCATGTTTGTAATATACTCCTGCAAATTCAAGCGCTTTGATCAATGTTTCATTTTATTTTCAGTTCCAATTAATGGCATCTTTCGCAAATAAGTGTACAAATAAACTATTAAAACTAAAATCCATTCGCTTACTCGCATTATTAACATAGCAGACCTGAATAAACGCGTTAATTGCTGTTATAAGTAGTCAAACTGTACGTGACAATCTGTTCTTGTACATTTACGTTAGCGAAAGCGCTACTTTGTTGTATAATTCGTGTGGATACGCCTGTACGGTGTCGTTTTTGATTTGAATCGGTCATGGCTGCAGGAGATGATGGCATTCCAACTTTTAAGGTAGATTTACAGTTTGTTTGTGACATATTTTGGTTATTTTTTTGTAGTTTTTATTTTTGGAATGTTGCTCGTTTGTTTACCTGTTTTGCGTGCGCCTGTCTTTCTGCTGAATTTGAACGCTTCTAGTGTGTGCTGGTCGGCGATGGTGGAGTGGGTAAAACGACGTTCGTCAAGCGACATCTTACTGGCGAATTCGAGAAGAAATATGTCGGTAATGAGAGTGACGGATGAACGACGGGGATGATTCATTGCAACATCTTTCGTCGTCTTTCTCGCTTTTTCTGACACCTTTTCTTTTCGTGGTTGCAGCCACGCTAGGCGTTGAGGTGCATCCGCTAGTGTTTCACACGAATCGCGGTCCATTGAGGTTCAACGTCTGGGATACTGCAGGCCAGGAGAAATTCGGTGGTCTGCGCGATGGCTATTACATCCAGGGTATAGTGTTTTCTTTTTCTTCAACTTTACAAGAATATGAATGCGACGTTTATGTTGTACCGGTTGCCTCCATTGTGTCAGTTGTCTAATTTTCACACCTTTAACCAGTTTTTATGATGATGTTCAGTTCTTTTCAACGGCAATTACTTAAAGCCACTATTTATCGCTTTTCAGGAATTGTCTTCTATTACGATGGTATGTCGCTTTACGGCTATATTTCACTTTGACCCTTCTGAGAACGGATAAAACTCAACATATAAACCGTTAAAAGTTATCTTGAGCCTTTATTAAAATCATTTTTCGAGTGCTTGCTCCATTTCGGTTCCTTTGATCTTTCGAAACAGTAGATGCCAAAATTCTGAAATACTGAAAAGAGTAAGGTGGTAAAAGTACTCTGATAAAACGCAAATAGAATTCTGCTTGTAACATGTAAACCGTGTCATGGAGGACTAAAAGCGGATACATTACTGAATACTCCAGTATTCTAGGTTTACAAACACAATGCTTGTTTTGTTGCCAATTTCATGCTACTTCGTATCTACACTGAGTGGTCGCATACAGTCCCCTTGCTTTTAGTCTTAGAGGCTACGATTCGATTGTACAGCACCTGTGATGCTGTGCATGCGCCTCTAACACTGCTGGCCTAAACAGAATTTTATTTTTAGTAACATTAACCGTGGAATCAATTAATGTATCGGCTTAAAATAGTCATTATTCTATTTATTCGAGTGCAAGATAAGTCGCTTTAGTAATAAATAGTATTTTTGATATTGCTTGGTTTGTAGTTAAATAATTCAATAGTATTGCAAATCGCTGAATTACATTGGACAAATCAACATCATTATTTTTGTTTTTAGATGGGTTTAAATCATACATTTGTCCATTAATGCCAATGTAATGTCTTTAAAAATATAATTCAGTATCTTTTATGGAGATCCTTTATGTGATGAAAGATTACAAAATTTATTTATCACTGACCTTGCATTACAAGATATTCAATTTTTTTATCATGCGCGATTCGTCCTCCACTGGCTATGGTTCCAAGCAAAGATAATTAAGATCTATAATCGATGCGGTGTCATCCCGGCCGTTAAAGATTTCACGGTTCAATTTTGCCTAGACGTTACTTGTGATTTTTGTGGTTAAGATATGAGGTCGGAATTTATTGATGATGCACTGGTTATTTCAGTAGGAAAAAATTCGTAGTGTGACACAAAACAATGTGACCGCAGCCCAAATGCAGCTTTTGGTACAATATTTAACACTTGTACTTCATAACACCTACCTGTTATGTGTGTCGTAAGTTGACTACATCGTTGACGCCTACCCTCTGAGGAGACGATGCCAAGGCCACTTCATATTATTGTAGTACGTACATACGATGTAACTAATTCCGAGAGCTCAGTAAAATATTAAGTCACAATAATTTGTTACATATGTTGTTTGATTGTAGTTCTTTTCTTCCTGGCTCTTGCTCCTCAGTCGGGTTAATTTAAAATTTTGAAAATGTTTGAAAAAGTTTGAAGAATTATAGTTCCTTTTAAGATTTTTCGTGTATCAGTCGTATGACCGGACGGAAAGCGAACAAGTGCTGTATATAGTTGCCGTATTGCTGCTCTCCCCGGCTTTGATTTAACCAACATTTTTATTCTTGTTTATAGCGCTACCTCACTGACGTCTTCATGCTCACTTTGATTAAACCAAAAATAAATAAATATCGGCTGTAATAATTGGGTTTTTTCCATTTTAAATAAGAGTCAAATAAAGTTGAAAATTTAATATTACAATCCCTTTTAATTCACGCAGCATGGCTGTTCCCTTGCTTCTAGCGTCCCCTTCCTTGGTGATGCAGTTTTCCATCCATGCACTGCAGATGCTAAAATATTATGTAGCCGTTGTCCGGTTCTTTAGGTCGCTAGAAGCATGTATACAATGCGCCTGCCACGAGAATGCGGAGAATTTGCAGAGAATGTTATATTCTTATCGGCGATATCGAAAAGTAGAGGTTTGTTAGTAAACCCATAATATTGGTTTATTTTTACATAAAATCATATCTTCATATTTTTTGATGGCGTCAATACCAAAAACTTAATATTTTTAGTATAACAAGCGACGATAATATTTTCTGCATATAAAATGGTTGCAGTGCTTGCAAAATGTACTGTGTCATTGTTTCAGTTTCACACTAAAAGGTGTTCTAGGCCCTCACTGTTAGAGTTATATACCGGTTATGTGTGTGGACGATTGTGAGAGTAAAAACTGAGTGCTTGGTTTGGAAATATGTCAAATTATGGCCATCTGGCTGCTAATGTGATTTTAATTTGTGTGAAATGTTATGATTGCTCGTGAGTAATCATGTGTTTTGTAGTTTTTAAGAGATTGATTGTTGTTATCGTTTAATATTGTAGTTGTTTTTCTTTGACTATTACTTTCACGTGCATGACATTTTTGGCATAACTGTTTGTTAATCTCACTTTACTTTTTACACGTGGTGCATTTTCCGGTTTCGTATTAAAAGGGTGTTTTCAACCACCACAGTTGCTACCACTGCAAACACTTGAATCATCATTTTTGCTGAGGATGAATATTTAGATCGAGCGTGCCATGCCATAAATATTATTAAAATACATGCGATTTAATGCTAACAGTTCGTTTTGCCAATAAAAATTGCTGTTGAGACTTCGTTTTAAATGATCTCGCTCTCAATTAGTGCTTGTAAGCTAGTTTGTTTTTAATTAACGGGTATTAATTTAGGTCAGTGTGCAATCATCATGTTTGATGTTACCGCTCGTATCACATACAAGAACGTTCCGAATTGGCATCGTGATTTGGTAAGAGTTTGCGAAAACATACCGATGGTTCTTTGCGGAAACAAGGTGGATGTCAAGGATAGAAAAGTAAAGGCAAAGCTGATCACTTTTCACCGAAAGAAGAACCTGCAGGTACTTGCTACGTCATAAAATAGCGGCATTAACAGATTTTAAGGTTTTTTTTAAAAGGTTGTCACTTTCTGCCGTGGTTTTGCTGATACATTTTAGACATGTAATAATGCCTTATTGTTGTATTATAGTAAAGTTGTATTATTGTAACTTGGGACCAAGATTGTTTCGGATTTTAAATTTTCATGATTTTTGTGTACATCATAAGGCGAAGTTGAAGAGAACTGAGAAAAGTTTCAGGGCAGTCAATGAATAAACTCATAACGGGTCACAGAGTTCCGAAATATAAAGTATTAAAACTATTTAACACATCTTCTCACCAAAATTCTCCACTTGAACATGCAAAATGATGAATCTGCTTCCTTTGAAAAAAATACTTGTCTCAAAACTGTGAGTTCTTATCCCAAAGGGCTGCCTGCCGTAAGAGTGAAGTTAGACATTCCAGAGTGCGGCGTAGCAGCTCGTTATAAATCACAATAAAAACAGACATAGTTATTCCGCAAATTGAAACTACCCGGGTTTCGTTGCAGGCCACACATTTCATGTACAGAAACGCATTTTCATACAGCTTATGTAGGTTGGAAGGGAGGTGGATTGAGGAAGGGGGAATGAAGAGGGAGTGGAATGTAGGAGTTGATAAGTTGTTTCCATGATAAAATGCAAGCATGAAAGTAGGGTGTGTTTATATATATTGATATGTAAAGATTGGTCAGTTAAAAACTACTGCTTTTACTAGCAAGAGTAAACTTGAACTAGCCCCGACTGACATTTCATCGGTCACATGGTCCGTCGGTATATCAGTCCAGCTATGGTGCGCAGCAGTGTTGGAACACAATAACGATACATGAAAGAAACAAGGAAAAGAAAGCGACAGTCAATGGATAGAAGATTAGTATGCTAATGAATAATATCTGAATGTATAATTTAGTAAGATAGGAGCTAATCGATCAGATTCACCCTTCTCTGTTTCATAGTACTCATAGTCAGAGTCGTCTGCTCGATCACAGATTGTACCTGAACCTCTAAATGAATTGGTGGAATGAAATGAAAAGAATGTGCTTAAAGCATAGTTACCCTGATTTATAACAGATGTTATAATTTGATTTATGTTGGTGACGTTCATATAGGACACTCTGATGACCTGCTCTGGGAGACAAGTTTCCGAACCGATCGAAATGTACATGGATCCAGTTTACACCAAGAGAATAAACATATTGATGGAGCACGTGTAATTAAGGTAGTCTGTAAGCTCTGAAAAGCAATATGCATATTCTTTTTTTACTTTCGTAAAAAGTTGGACCTTGCTAAGGATTATGTTCTCGTCTCTTGGCGCACCAGTTTTAGCGCTTATCGTTTTGCAGTTCCTGCGATATCCTCTTTCCCGAAGAGGTCTGCCAATGAAATGTAAAATAGTTGGTGCAGTTTTAAACTGGTCGTATATGTTGTTTATTAACGTCAGAT